CAAACCAATACATAAATAAAAAAAAAAACATTAAAATACAAGTACACGAACCAGGACACAGTAAAAATGCGCGCATAAAGGGGAACAGAACTACACTAGGGAGACACTGTTAAGACATTATAAGAGAGAACCAGGACCACACAACACGTTAATACAGAATACACAAAAGAAAATTAAACACACACACAAAGGCCCTCAACAAACGGAGGCCGACACCTCCACCAAACCTAGATAATACACGGAAATATAGCACGTAATAAGTCACAACAAAGAAAAGCGTAAAAAAAGCATTACAACGGTAAATAAAATAATTCAACAGACCGCGATCAGAGGCACACATAAGAACGGAATGAACACGTTCCAAAATGAGAACTACACCATGCACACCACGCATACACTAATGTTTTTTAAGCAAGCAAGAGAAGGACGACACCTCCGTCTTCCTTCTCGACTTGATAATGGTCCTGGACGGACCGAAACGTCGTCGTCCCTTCACCTTCTAAGTGTGTGGTCTGGTCAACACACCTCCGTCCCTCGCAACAGGACACACACACACACACACGGAGTATAACAATAAACCACACACTACTCACTCTCCTGACATACAAAGCAAGCAACAAACGCAGAAAAACACACGCACACTAGCTCAAGCAGAGCCACAGCTCCAGCACATAAGCCAGTAAATCCTAACCAATATGCAGCGGTATAGCCCCGACAGTACAGGAACACCACCCCAGTAGCCCCGACAGTACCGGAACACCACCACGGTAGCCCCGGCAGTACCGGAACACCACCACGGTAGCCCCGACAGTACCGGAACACCACCCCGGTAGCCCCGACAGTACCGGAACACCACCCCGGTAGCCCCGACAGTACCGGAACACCACCCCGGTAGCCCCGACAGTACCGGGGTGGTGTTCTTGCTCTTGCTTGCTACCGGAGTGGTGTTCCGGAACACCACCCCGGTAGCTCCGACAGTACCGGAACATCACCCCGGTAGCCCCGACAGTACCGGGGTGGTGTTCTTGCTCTTGCTTGCTACCGGAGTGGTGTTCCGGAACACCACCCCGGTAGCCCCGACAGTACCGGAACACCACCCCGGAAAACACTCGCAAAACCCTGAAGAGCAAGGGATGGGGGTTGAAGGAAGGGAAATCCCCTAGAGAAGGGGTTATAGACTCCCCCACAGCAATCTCAACCGTAAATAAAGCTCATTCGGGCGGCGCCAGCAACAGTATTGGACCACCATCCTTGTAAATATTCGCAGAACCGTGAACATCAGGGAGAAAGGGTTGAAGAAAAGGAATCCTCTAGAGGAGGGAGCGACAGACCCCTCCTCAACACCAACCACAAATCACAGCCATCGCGACCACCGTCACCAGTCTCAACAACCCCACCTCAACCCAACCTTCACATGGGGGAGCCAACAGGCGGGTACCAGTGAGGGAGGAACCTCACCCCATCCCTGCTCTGCTACATCCACAGCCTCAACCACCACACCCAGCTCATCCTCTATATGGATCGCATCCGGACAGCTTTTTTTCTCCGCTTCTGCTTCGGCACCAGAGGAGCCAGGTGCGAGGCTTCTTGAATGTAATGAGAAGGACGCACACCCTCCATTGGAGAGGCAGCCGGAGACGCCTCGCGAGACACGGGGAAAACCCCCACCCCCTAGAGGCCCCACAGACGGAGTAACCTCGCCAGACCCGTTCACCAAAGCAGAAGTGGACGTCTCTAGAGGAGCCCCTCCACCACAACAGCAATCGACACACTGTGAACCTCCTCTGGCACATTCGAGTGCATATACAGTTATTTAAAATAAATTAGTGTATCCAACTCCAAAGGGAGGGTTTCGTTTTCTCTAAAACAAATAAAGTTGGAGAGAAAATGAATAAAGTCAGGGAGCTAGGATTAACTCCAAAATTCCAAAATAAATAAATGAATAAATAAATGTCGTACCTAGTAGCCAGAACGCACTTCTCGGCCTACTGTGCAAGGCCCGATTTGCCTAATAAGCCAAGTTTTCCTGAATTTATATATTTTTCTTAAGAAATGATAAAGCTATCCATTTCACTATGTATGAGATAAAAAAATTTAAATTTGAGTCAAAACTAGCGTAGATATATGACCGAACCTAACCTACCCTACCTAACCTAGCATAACCTAACCTAAACTAACATAACTAACTCAATAATTTATGTTCTTATGCTCCATGTCTTTTGAGTAGCATCGGGCCTTTGCAAGGTAAATAGTCCACAGGACCAGCGGCCAAAACCCGGCTCCCCCACAGAGGCACAGGGAGCTGAGGATGTACTCACCTAGTTGTACCCAGTCAACTAGGTGAATGAAAGTTACAATGTTGGGTCAATGTCGGAAGAGATTACAACTTCTGAAGGCCTTGGCATGCTGTGGAAAGGAAGTGGGAGTCCCTGTGCTACGAATAATATACTTGAATACTGTAAGATCTCTATTGATTATGCTGCACCTGTCGTTTCTTGTTTTGGTAAAGGTAGGATGGGGAAGTTGGAGAAGGTACAAAATGAAGCCATGAGAATTATCTTAGGAATGCTATGACTGAGATAATGAGGATGGAGTTGAATCTGCAGAGCATTGGGGGATAGAATTTCAGAGATAAATGTAGCCTCTGCCATTAGATTAATGAGAGGTGGGGGAGTAAATGAATTAATCCTCTCGGTTCAAAAGGTGGGAAGTAATGAACAATGTACAATAAAGAAGAGAGCATATATGAATACCTTATGTTCTAATGTTATAAAATATGATGTTATTACAGAGTGTATTGCTGTTGAATGCAGACAATTCACACCACCATGGGAGGATTGTAATGTAGATGTAATAATTATTCACTTGCAAAAGAAAAAATGTATGTATGAAATAGAAGAGCTGAGGGCAACATATGATTGTATAATTAGAAAATTACCTACAGAAAACACTCTACATGTATATTGTGATGGGTCAGTAGCTAGGGATGAGAAGGCAGGATATGGAGTCTTGATCAGGGAGTACACTGACATCGGCACGGTACTGTTATTGGGTGCTGCTTAACTGACAATGTCTCTTCAACGCAGGTTGAGCTCCAAGGTGTATTAGCAGGAATTATAGGAAGTAGTCAAATGTGGTAAAAATGCCTGCTTCTTTATTGACAGTAGAGGAGCGTTAGAGTCTTTAAATAGCAGACGCCCAGTATACCAGAATATTTTGATAGAGTGTAGAGAGAATGTTAAGAAATTAGAAAAAACTGGGTATAAAGTAAGATTCATGTGGATCCCTTCACATGTGGGAATACTGTTGAATGAGGTAGTTGATGAGATAGCGAAGAGAGCAACGGAAAAAACTCTTGTTGATGTTGTATGTTAGATAACCTTGAAACAAATAAGAACAAGAATCAAGATGATCCAAGAGGGTGAAGAAATGATAAAGAGAATGGCAATGGTGGACAGTAGTAACACACTTAAGAATTATTCAATAATAAATACAAACTCGTCCTTCACTTATGGTAAAGGAAAGTCAACTTGGAAGGATTCAGTTTACATGAGATTAAGATTAGGATACAAATATATTTGGCAATACGGTGTTGATGTCAGTGAAAAAGATAAGGAGTGTAAATTATGTAGTATGCCGCACGCCCACACCTTAGAACATTATATATTAGAGTGCCAACTTATTGATAACTATAGAAATGAGGAAATAAGTAGTGTACCACATCAAATTGTTTGGATGTGTAATAATGGTATGATAGACAATATACTTAGGAGCTACAAGAATTTTGCCCCAAGAATGTAACACTTATATGCGGTGCTTAATATATTAACCTGTAATTAATGGAATTCTTGTACTGTTATTTGTCGATTTGTACTGACTGAATTTGTGCGCCCTTTGAGGGACTTGAAGTAGAGGGGGGGGGGGGTTAGAAATAGCCTAAGCTACTCTATCCTATCTATGAATGGGATTGGGTGGTTATAAATAGGAGCTGCCTCGTATAGGCCTTCTGCAACTACCTTTGTTCTTATCCCTTTGAGATGTATTTCTTTCTTGTCTCAATAAACATAATAATAAACACTGTATCAATTGCTACCCAATCTCCCAACCTTTATGTTCCCAATTTGAACATCTTTACCATTGTGATCATTGATGTTTTCTTATATGTGCTGCCAATCTGTGGTATGGTGTTTATAAATCTTGTTTATCTGTATCTTTTGCTACCCAGTCTCCCAATCTTTATGTACCCAATCTGAACATCTTTACCATTGTGATCATTGCTGTCTTATATGTGCTGTCAATCTGCTGTATGGTGTCTATTAACCTTTTTTAAATTACTAATCAAGCTGTCAATGTAATCAATCAGAGCTTTAATATAACAATGTGCTTTAATATACTTACTTATCTCTCTCATCTCATTTTTCTCTTGTAATGTATCTTTATCATTTATCAATTCTGATTGAAATTACCTACTTAAAATTATCTGCTAGATTAAGGACCTGCCCGAAACGCTGTGCGTACTAGTGGCTTTACAAGAATGTAAATACTGTACTATCCAATGTATTCTCACAAACCCAATGTACCTTCTTGTATATATATAAATAAATAAATAAATAAATAAATAAATAAATAAATAAATAAACATACTTGAACTTGAATGGGCTCAGGAACTGAATTCTATGATTGATCTAATGTAACCTTAAAAATGGTGCAACTTTGAGTCATCAACAAATATCGTTCGTATTTTATAACACATATTGTACGTGAACTGTACAGGGACAGTTCTCTCGCGTCTTTCATAAATGTTTCTATATGTAATACATGTCTGCTCAGTAATATATATTTATTGCACTGAATATAGTTGTTAATTAAATATTCGTGTTGTCAAACGATATTACAAATAATAATTAATGATTTGGAATATTTGAAAAAGAACAGTTATAGTTATTCTCGCTCTGTAGATTTCATGAAGAGTTGTGATTGGCCAGCGAGGAGAACAAAGCGCCTTGTGATTGGCCGAACGCCACACTCCGCTGGTGAGGTGTATTCTGGTGTGAGCAAACACGAAATCTCTTTGAAACATTAGTGTTAAAATGCTCTTATCCTTCGTGGCCCGAGATGAACATGACATAACACATCGGTCACATAAACAAGTATATGTTTAAGAAGGAGAAGGAGGCAGCGTTGACTCCCGGAGGAGAGTATCGGGCGGTGTTGGTGTCGGGAAGGTTGAAATAAGTCTGCGTGGTCCTCCCTCCCAGCGACTCCCAGCATTCCCAGCCGGTATCAAGATGGACGAGCTCTGTGTTGAAGTCCTGGGCCCTCATGGGGCCTATTACAAGGTATTTCTTGGTACAGGAGAGGTTGAGGCCGGCACTTGGCGGCCGGTACAAGTGTGGCTTGGCCCGGGTGGCCGCTGAGGGGATGATGAAGGTTGTAGACCAGTGTAGTGCCGCTCAATCCTTGTTGACAAAATCCAGCTGATGGATAGAATATGTAAACAAAATACCTATATGCTCTACATAATCTATTTTCTCAAGCTAACGATGGCTCTTAAGGGCCACGTGTGCCACGCTGGTGAATTGGCACGGCTTGAGTGGTGATACATGGGTGAGGTTTGATGCATGGGAGTGTAGAAGCGTGTGTGTGTGTGAGCGAGGAGTTGTGAAGGCTGACCACGCTGCACTTGGCCCCAGGTGCTGCGGCAGGCACGCCTCGCCCTCTGCTGCTGCCCGCTAGTATTTGCTCACTTTGTAGCCGAAATTATCCTTACGGGTCGGGCAACATCTCTGGCTGTTGCAGATTGTCATTGCTAGAGCCAATATGAACTGTCAGGCCCAGTCTGGCCATTTATAAATTATGCAACTGACTTGTAAGCATGGCTTGGCATAGCACCCTTGATATGTTCTGCCCCTTATATTATGCTTCATGATTGATATAAGTAATTATTTAAGTAATTAGAGATCACTTGGGGACAAATTGGCTTGTGAAGCTACATAGATTAGAATAAATAATATCGGTGCAGATACACAGCCAACCCATCCATCACTTCTTCTATAGTATCTCTGTGGCTCTATTATAAAAACTAAGTAGAATTATTACACAGAATCTTCCTGTTCGAAAACCATACTATCTGCCCGTTATTGTGTCATTATTCTCCAGGTATTCTACTCATTTGGTTTGAACTATTTTTTCTAGTGTTTTGACTATCGTGCTTGTTAATTATACGGGTTATCATTTCTTCTCGGTTACCATTTTTGTTGATTGCAACTATGTTTGTTTTTTCCTGTGGACAAACATGTCTGGAATATAATTTCCAGACATCGAAGTGTGGTACTGATGGTGTCGGCAGTGGTCTGGCAGTGTAAAGTACTTTGATAAAGCACTTTATACTGTTGCATGTTATAACTTTACATAAAGCTGCTTGACTTTTGGTGTTGAAGGGGAGCCTGGTGACTCGGTAGTTGCTCACCAGTCCAGCCAGGGTTGTTGGGGTCCTCCCCTTTGTCAGATGCACAGTACTGTGCAGGAGTTTATGGTGGGCGATGCTGAGTTCAGATTCCTCCAGGCTCTGTGATCATTTCGCTCTGTTTGGTCTGTTTCCCCCATGGTTCGTTGTCTCAACCAAGGGGGGTTCTCTTCGGTTCATGGCTCTTTGGGGCTGGTCATTTTGGTAGCTTGTCTGCTGGGTTCTCGGGGTTTAAATCTCCATGCCACTCACGTCCAGGGAGTATACATTGTCCTGGCCGACGGTCTATCCCAATTCCTTCCCCTTTCCACGGAATGTATCGTAGTTGCCAATTCCTTCCTCTAGCTTTGCCAGGTGTGTTCCCCTGGTCCATCTGTTGCTCTGGGTGCTGGCGTGACTGGAGTCTTACAGGGAAAGTGATTCTTCTCGCTTCTTATTGGCCAGCCCAGCTTTGGTTTCAGGCGCTGCTTACTCGGTTTGAATTTCTCCTCCGATCTACGCATTTGGAGTTTTTGACAGGTATGTCACCATATGTATGGTGATCAGATGGCTGAGTTGATGGTGTTCCACCTGCAGTTTTCTTCCAGGCAACAGTATGAGGTTTCTTGGCGGTTTTGTCACCACTTTCTTGCCCTTCGTCATTACTCTTCAGTTTTCAAGCAGGTTGTTTTGACTTTTGTCTCTTGGCCATTTCTCAATCTGCATCTTATGCCAAATACTGTCTCTTGTTATCGTTCGGCATTGGCGGAATTGCTCCATTTTGTATTCGGGGTTGACACTTCGACCTCGTTTCACAAGCTTTCTCGCGCTTTGTTCACATTGGGTCTGTTCATGTGCCATCTGAGCTTGCCTGGTCTCTGGACCAGGTTTATTTTTCTCATTTCTGCTCGTTTAACAGTGACCCCTTCGGTTCGGGATTGTTTTTTGAAGGTTGTATTTTTGCTTTCTTTGGCCTCTGGTTATTGGGTTGGGGAGCATCATGCTCTTCACCAGTGCAGGTGGTTTTATTCCTTTGGTCCTGGTGGACGTTTTGTTTGGTTGCAGCTGGCTCCTTGTTTTTTTGGTGAAGAATGAGTTGGCTGGCTTCCAGAGGGGTCCTTTGGTCGTGGATGCTTGAGTGGTTCGGCCAGGCTGCATCATGCGCTTTGTCTGGAGGCAGATTTTTGTTGCTACCTTTGTGCCACCGGTTCTGCTTCGGTGGACTCGTAGGTTGATCTGGTTACCCAGATTCCGTGTTTCAGTGCTAGTGTCTCAGGTGGTCCGCAGTGTCATTAAGTCCAGCCAGCCTCTGGTCTACCCTCATGCCCATGATGTCAGTAAGTAAGCTGCTCTGACAAAGCTGTTTTGGAGGACAAACAGGGTCTTGGCGGCCATGTTATCTTGTGAACGTCCTGAGTCCTCGGTGGCCTTGTGTAGCTTTGAACTGTGTGTCGCGGCCGACTGTCTCTTTTGGTTTGATACCTGCGGTGCTGCCTTCTCCCTGGTAAGTGGCCTTTTTTCTTTTATACTATGTGGGTAATTAGCTTCAGGGAACCGATGGGGCTTTCCCCAGAAAACCAGCATTGAATATAATGAAATACCAATTTCTGGGTGAGCGCTGGAGGCTCCCTGACACCCTTCTTTTCCCAGAGTGTTGGTGTTTTCATCATCATAGAACCTAGGTTGGGGAGAGTTGGCTGACCCGGTATGCCTCCCTTCTCCCAAACGAGGAAGGAGGTGGGGCAAACTAGCAGACGCTAGTTTTAAAATTTTGGTGGTTTGTTTTCATTGTTGGGAGGAGTTCTTTTGGCAATTTTAAGGGTGTGGTCTCGTTTTTAAACCACGCAGTAGATTTTGGTTCGCCTAACATTCTGGATACTTTCCTTGTGGTTGCAAGTATGATTAAACTTTAAATTTAAAATTTTCATAGGGCATTGTTCCCTTCTGCTGAGGGGGGCCAGGGTCTTGCTCGTGGTCTCTGGTAGGCCAATAGAACTCTACGACTGATGGCACCAGATAGGATGGCACTGATTAGTGTATGATACAGTAGCTTCAGGGAGGCTCCAGGGCTCGCCCAAAAATTGGCATTTCATTACATTCAAAGCTGCTTTTTTTATTTATTTTTTATTTATTGTACAGGCATACCTCAGTTTAAGAGTTTAATTGGTTCCTGGAGACGCCTCGTATTCCGAAAACTCGCATTCCGAAGCTAATTTCCCCATAAGAAATAAAGGGAAATGAATTAATCCGTTCCTGACTACCCCAAAAACCCCACATCAAACTAAATTTTTATACCTAATTCATCTAAATAAACCTACAAAACTATGTTCAAGTTATTACAGTGGTACCTCGGAATGCGATTGTCCCTGTATGCGAGGTTTTCGGAAGGCGAGGTGTATTTACTCCAAAAATTTGTCTCGGAAGGCGATGGTTACTTCGGGAGGCGAGTTTGGACGCGAGTTTGTTGATACGCGTACAACCGACCTAGCGCGTGGTGGTTTGGCGATCGTCGCCCCTCAGTTTATTATTGTCTCGCGCTCAGTGACTACCCCCACATCAATTCTTCTCGCGGATTTTCAGTGTTTTGTTGGATTTTTGGTGATTTGTCTATACAATTTGTTATTATATATCTCACCATGGGTCCCAAGAAAGCCAGTGGTAAGGATAAAGGCCAGAAAGCTCATGTGAGGATGACAATAGAGGAGAAACAAGAGATCATTCGGAAGCATGAGAACGGTACACGTGTTGTTGAACTTTGTAGGCAGTACAACAAAGCCACATCAACAATATGCACTATACTTAAGAAGAAAAATAAGATTATGGGTGCTAAAGTGGCAAAAGGAGTAAGAACATTAACGGCACAAAGACCACAAATACTTGAAGAAGTGGAAAAGTTGTTATTAATTTGGATACACGACAAGGAGTTGAGGGGTGATAGTGTTTCGGAGGCCATTATTTGTGAGAAAGCCAGGGTGTTGCACGAAGACCTTCTAAAGAATACCCCTGCAACGAGTGATGCAGATAAGAAAGAGTTTAAGGCAAGCAGGGGCTGGTTTGAAAAATTTAGAAAGAGAAGTGGTATCCATAGTGTTACAAGGCATGGGGTTATGTGATGTGATTATGGAAGGGGACTCCCCTTCCAAACAGTAACTCCTCTCCTCCTCCCCCCTCCTCACCATCTTCCATACGCCTACAGCACTCGACAGCAAGGTAAGTAATAACTGGAACACAGTTTTGTAGGTTTATTTAGATGAATTAGGTAAATTAGGTATAAAAATTTTGTTTGATGTGGGGTTTTTGGGGTAGTCAGGAACGGATTAATTCATTTCCCTTTATTTCTTATGGGGAAATTAACTTCGGAATGCGAGTTTTCGGAAGGCGAGGCGTCTCCAGGAACGGATTAAACTCTTATTCTGAGGTATGCCTGTACTTACCTTGCTGTTGAATGCTGTAGGTGTATGGAAGATGGTGAGGAGGTGGGAGGAAGAGAGGAGTTACTGTTTGGAAGGGGAGTCCCCTTCCATTATCACATCAGGCAGTGAGGACTTCACTGGTATGCACACTCTGGCACATTTTGCCTGCATACCACTAGGACTTTCTTGTTTTACTAAGAATTTGTCTAATGACACTTGTTTTTCCCTACATTTTAACACTTGTCTGTAGTAAGACATCACATTATCATTTAAAAGGTCAATGCAACGGCCTGCTACAGCTTTATCTGGGTGAGTTTTTTCAACAAAACTTTGCAGTTCTTCCCATACTTCACACATTTTCTTAATCAAGAAGGGACATCCTCTACTGCCTCTACTCACAGCTATTTTCTTAGGTTGAACCTTACCAATGGCTTTCTTAAGACCCATGGCAAGATATATAATGACATCTTTTATGCTCAAATGGCCAAAAAAACGATAAAAAACTGTAAATCCTTGTGAAGAATTCAGGTGGGATAGTCACTGGACACGGGACACTGGTAAACTGAGGCGCGATCGCCATGCCACCACGCGCCAGTCGGCCTGTACACGTATCAACAAACTCGCGTCCCGAGGTAACCCTCGCCTTCCGAGACATATTTTTGGAGTAAATCCTGCTCGTCTTCCGAAAAACTCGCATACAGGGACACTCGCATTCCGAGGTACCACTGTATTTCTTCACAATCGGCGGCACAACACATTTTCTCTTCAGTATACAATACTGGCACTTGAAGGCCTGACTGAGACATCCTGTTATTTTGAGAGTATATTGTATAATGATGTTGACAAGATTGTTCAATAAATTCAAGGCATGGCTGGGAGTTAAACTAGAGCAGAGCCAATACACAGTAAAACAAAACAATATTAAAAAACATTACTGTACAAGCCTCTTTTGGCAGGCTACAGCCCGCCAAAAGGGCATATTCATGAATTTTAGAGTGCTTGACTGGCCCAATTGTATCCCCTAGCATGTGTATGAATGAAATAGTGGCAGAATTGATATCTGCCTAGTATACTGATGTGCGATGGCTTGCAGATAGGTTAAGTTTCTTCACTGAATGTGATCAAAAGGTACCAATTATTAAATTTTTTGTCATGTGAATGCAGTTGAAGAGCTTTAGGTCTAATGATCTTGTGAACTTCGTTCACAAAATATTGACAGTACAAGTTGTTTCAGGCATCTGTTGTGGACATGGTGGGAGATGAAGTTCAGGTGAGGTATGAAGGCGATTGGTCTGCGGAAGCTCGGGTAGCCATGACAGGTGTGAGACTACCTCCGTCTCCGGGTCCTCCGCCTGTAGAATATCCTGAAGGTGCTGAAGTTGAAGTTTATGATAAGCTTATGAATTCGCCTTATGCTGCTTATTGGAAAGCAACGATAAAGGTATTTCGTGTTTTAAGCCTTTGTTTTATTTGGAAATGTTAAATTTAATGTAAGAATTTGCTAAATTCAAAAATACTGCGTATAATTTTTAAGGAACCATATATTGAATTATGAAACTCGTTCTTAACAACATAATGATACCTTTAGTTATTATTGAATGTATTAATCAGAATATTTTATTAATGACTTGAATATCATCAGGCAAATAATACTGACAAATGACATGTACATTTCTGAAACAAAATTGCCTCATTTAAGTCTTTCGTAATTCCCACCCCTAAATCAAAGTTAAATTATACATTTTAAGTTTCATTTACCATATTCTTTCTATACATTAGAAAGAATTATATTTATACAATTTTTAGTTTATAATATATGTATGTATATATATATGTATGCTGCACTCGGATATTATGCTTAAATGGATTTTTGTTTTGCATGTGTAAATAAATCTTAATGTGAGTTATTTCAAATTGCAGATGTCAAAAGGAGATTTTCATGTAGTAGAGTTCACGGGGGTGTCAATTACAAGTGGTGAAAACATCTTTCCATCAGAGAAAGTCCGACCAAGAAATGTAAACCCACCTATTACACTGAAAACCTTTACGAAGGTTGACATAGAAGTTCCAGAAGACATCAGAGAGTAGTAAGTAAATGTTGGATCATATTATTTAAAAAGTACATGTTCTATTTTTCTAGGAAAATTTTTGTAGAAATTTAGAATGATTCATATCCACTAGTGGTACAATGCAGGCATTTGGCTACCCCATTTCTCTAGGAGCATATATCTGTGCTTCACCTCAAATAAAAGGGCCTGAAAGTGGCCTGCTTACTCATTTTCTCTATCATCTTCCTGCTAAAGGCCATGACAATTTTATGATGTGATAGATGCACATGTTTTACTTCTCAAAGTGTTGATCATCAAAATTGTCACCTTGTCTTTACTCTATTCAAAATTAATATACAAAATGTAATTTCTTATAGAATGATACATTTGTATGTAAAAAAGTAAGGCAAAGTATGAAGAAAACAAGGCCATATATGTTCACCTTGAATGTTTTCTAGTTTATTCACTCAGTGCAGTATAGTGTTTGTGTTAAATAACGATTAATGTATCCATAGTTGACGTAAATGGTGGTCGAGTACTGTATATAGGCCTATAGTGCAGTACAGTATCTATACATGTAAAGCAAGTCCTAACACAGCTCCAAGGAAGTGTCTTCCCTTGTACTATTTTCCATCTATCTGGAAATGTTGTCCAAGTATAAATTCAAACACTGGCAGGAAAGGTTGAAGTGTCATCTGATGATAACCACAGGACCCTAGTACAGTGGTACCTTTGTCTTTTTTAATTTAATCCGTTCCCAGAGACGGTTCGAAAACTGAAAATTTGAAAACCAAAATGAATTTTCCCCATAAAAAATAATGTAAATTTAATTTGTTCCTCATCCCCAAAAATATTAACAAAAATACATTTTATACTCTCCTTAATCGACTGTGCCACGACAGTCGTGGCACAGTTGAGGGATAAGGTGCGTCTGGGATCCTCTCGGACGTAGGTTCGAACCCTCATCACGGTCCTTGTGGATTTGTTCATTTGAAATGCATAATGCTATTGTGATTTCTGTTTGTAATGACGTAAGGGGGAAGAGGTAGAACAGCTTATTGACAGAGCCCAGGTGTACGGGGAAATTGTGTAAAAGCTTGGTTTGTGTCTCGGAGAGACTGCAGGATCCGTGTGAGGGCAGATGAACTCTCGGTCGCAATTCTTTTCACTGTGTCGTGGCACAGTCAATTAAGGCGCGTCTGGGATCCTCTCAGACGTAGGTTCGAACCCTCATCAAGGCCTTTGTTGATTTGTTCATTTGATTCATCACGCTATTCTGATTTGTGTGTATGGACTCTTAAAGAGTAGTCCTCAATGGAGCAGAATCCAAAAGCCACTCAATTGGTGCCAGCATTCCATAGGGTAGTGTGTCTGGCCCTCTGTGCTGTGGAATTTCTATTTCAACAATCTACTTAATCTCATTCTTGAAGCTCAAGCCTATGCTGATGACTGCAATCTAACCTTTACGTACAGAAAGGAAGAAATGCGAACTGCTGCAAGACTTGGCAATAACCAACTTTCAATAATTTCTAGCTGGGGTAGGAAATGGCAGGTCATATTTGCGACTGAGAAAACACAAGCGATGTTAACTAGACTGCACGTTGCAAATTGGACAGTCTTGAAAGGGGTGGCAAAACCCTAGAGTTAAGATGAAATTGATATTTTGCAATGAAGATCGACTCTTCAATGGCAATGAAGAGCCACATACTTAACCTAGTCCAAAAGGCAGCCAGGAAACTTACAGCCCTACGGTACACAGGGCTGTAAGCAGGGGCTGCAAAATCGTTATGAAGCACAAGTTTTCTCCCATCTTGAGTATGCACTCTTTTACTGGATCAGACTTTTGGACAAAGTGGAGAGCCACACAAGAAAGCTCATCTCTAGTCTTGACCTTGTCTTGTGGGAACGGTCAGAGCTTGCAATTCTGTCATGATGGTGGTGGTCTTACTGTTATGTACAAACATTCTCAAAAGTTCCATACCTGGGTCATCTCTGTGGACAACCAGCGGTTGGCACTCATAGCATTAGGTTCTCAACCTTCAACAGTCTCATGCTGGAACTGCCTTTCTAAAGAACATCACTCCATCAGTGATCATTCATTCCTAGGATAACTTGCATCTGGAACGTGTTCACTCAACAGGTTGATACATTGGAGATCAGGTCAACTGATCACATGAAGGCTCTGGCACACAGTTGGCTATGGGCTCATCCTGTTCCTTATGATTGTTACCTAATGTTGTTAATGAATAAAAGCTATTCCTATTGATGCATATAATAGGTTCATGAAATGGGTCTCTAGGAGTAGGTTTCAACTGAGCTGAGATAGGATTTACAGCTCTTGCTTGCACTTTCACTAGCTATGTCATTTGACAACCCTTATGAACAATAGTCTTTGGTTAAAAAAAAAAAAGAGCGAGAGTGCAAATGTGAGAGATAAGAGGTGCAGGTGTGAGAGTGGGGTGGGAGTGTGAGAGGGGGGGGTTCGGGCGTGAGAGGGAGGAGCTTGCGAATGTGAGAGGGAGGGGGAGAGGTGGGGTTGGAGGGAGACCTGAGACTTAACTAGAAAACTTAGAGCAAAGAATTAATAGAATGTTTTAATTTTACAGTGCTCGGATGGAGAGTGTTCACAAGCCCTTCAAGAAAGCGTGTGGAGCTTCCAGTTGTGTATACAATCCAGACAAACACTGTTTGACCCTAATAGTAAGTTTCTGTGCATTCTTCATTTCCGTTAAGAAAGTTTGTAGTTGGTAATAGCAGCATATTACAATAAATGACTGACTGACTGGTAAATTATTTAATGGAAATTAGTTTTATATATAAATTACTATCTTTGAAATACTGTACTAAGTTTCAAATTCATGAGAAAAGAAACAAATAGAATTTGTTTATTTAATATGTGGTAACTGGCTGGATAATACTGTGCAGTAGTTAATAAAATAAAGGACCTGTAACATTGATTTTTTATATATATATAATATATAATATTTATTTATTTTGAAACCCTAATATTTTCCCTTGTGTCCAGTCTAAGAGCTTTCCTCATTTATGGTAACTTGCTTTACTGCTCTTGTTATGCCCCATCAGGATTGGTGTGTGGGGTTACAGTGATCATTGTGTGTATTTGTTCACCTCTCTAATAATGATTTGCATAAACTCCAGTTTTCTACATAATTTTGCATAGTTTAGTACAAATGCTGTTTGTGAAAGGATGTTGCGTATATGATCAAATCGTTCTGCTGCGATGATTTTTGACAGAGTTATGCCCCTTTTTATCCCCTCGGCTGGACTGGCCAGGCGCGAGAGATATGTCATCCTTCAGATGGCTCTTGTTTTAACAGTGGAACAGAGGCCATATCATTAAAAGTGAGTGAATGCAAGTTTATTACTATGTATCCCTGTGAGGGATGCCTTATGGTTTTGCCTTGTCTACTCAACAGGTGTTCCCATTAGGGGACTACCTTATGGTTTTGCCTTTTCTATGTATATATATATATTTATTATTTTCCTCTGTTGCTCAGTTTCCAGATGATAACTTAAAAATGCCTTAGCAGATTGGATTCAAACTTAATGAATATACTGTATATTGTACATGTATTGGTACAACTGTGTTTTGGGTGGTGTAACTTTTTGGTGACTGCTTTCATATCACAGATTTTTCTGTAGTTTTTGGGTCGGTTAGGCAAGTAATCTTCAAAATTATCAGTTTCTTAAATCAAAAGTAGTACATGTTGTACGTACATACTTTATCACTTGTGAAGTGCTTTGTAGGTTAATTTACAGGCTTGACAATATAATTTTTTTGTATATTGTATAATTAAACAAAATGTCTTAAATGATCTACAGCTAATTTGCTCGTTTATGTAGAGCATGATTTGGAATTTAGTTGTGGTCAATCTAGTTAAGTTTGTGATTTAATAGTCTCAATACAGGCATTGGAGATGGATTTTGCTTGTTTGAAACCAATCTATTAAGGTTTCTGAAAATAACATCTGGAAATGTACTTAAATTTAAGGTACTGAATTGGTCATTGAAGGGAATTGAAGGGAATTGAGGGAGGTATCCCTGTCGTCTTTCACTTAGGTCAGGACAATTTGCTGACATCACAAATTTAGGGTCATGTGCCTGTGTGTTAGTTCCTAAGTAATTCTGTATTTTGTATGCTGTTAACGAATTTGTGGTTCATATCTGATGCAGTTTGAACAGGCATTTCTTTTATACATAATTTGTAGAGTAATAATGTTTTAAGTTTTCAGAATTATCACAAGTACAAATTTGATAAGTACTCTAGAAAATACTTTTCTCATTTCACAGGTTAAGGAAACATTCATTGTTTACTTGTAGATTACCTGTGACTTGTTTTAAAAAATCTGCCCACAACTTTCCCTCTTTTTTGCTTCCTTGGCAACTGCCTGTTTTATGTTTACCTGTATAAAGTTGATCAGATCTATACCTCTGTGTATTCGACAACTGTCCTTGTATTGATGATTGGAAAACAGCAATAGCCTCGTTAATCAGGCTGTCATTATGGAATTTTGGACACTGGCTTGGCTGAGAGTTAAGACAACCCTAACTTGGTCTCGAGTAAATAATTTATCCATGAACTCTTATTTGCTGAAGCAGGGATGTGTGGATTTTCTTAGAATGTTGGGACAGTTCACACTGGTGGAAAAGTTGCCCATCATATCATAGGTTAAAATTAAAGCGAGGAGAACCTCTAAAGGAATGTCACCTGAGCACTCCAAGAAAGGTGGCCTTGGCAGTATAAGGGCAGCACTAGGGAGCACACATTGAACATAACCCTGAGCTGAGCAGAAGTAGCTCCAAGCACCCTCAACTCCTGGTCCATACTACACAAAAGTGTAAAGAACAGCCACTAAGGTAAAACACTAAGAAAGCACACTGGAGCCTTAGTGCCTGAGAGCACCTGACACGTACAGTACTACCATCGGAGGAAAACTAAGGGTGGAGCAGCTGGCCGACTCCGACTCCCAGTATGCCTTATCCAGCCAAATCTGTTATCTGGATTGCTATACTGTACAGATATGGCGAAGTTTTGCCAGAAACATATCCAGATGTGATTTTGGACAGATAGCCCAAATATCCAATTTGGCAGAATTTGGATTAGCAAGCTCATACAGTACTTTTTTTTCCCAATCCATTTTCCATGCACTTGGCTGGGATGGCCATTTAAAGTGTTAAGATGGAAGAATAAATATGTATAAAGAAAATGCTGAAGGTAGAAATTTAATTTTATTTTTACGTATTAAGATCTAATTGTAATTTAGGCTAGACCCAAGACCTCTATCAAATGAAAATATACACTCTTGGAAGTTGCATTCTTAATCTTGCGTAGCATTTGAACAAATCCACAAGGGCCGTGACGAGGGTTCGAACCTCGTCACGGCCCTTGTGGATTTGTTCATTTGATGCATCATGCTATTGTGATTTCTGTGTGTAGTGTAGTGTTACATAGCATTTATTGCTTCTTAAATCTTACGGATTTTACCTATGATGTTACCAATATATTTCACTAATGCCAAATTTTTCTCATTTCTGTAGTCTCGGAATGATCAATGTCTCAAGTTGGCCCATATGTTATCCGACATGCATTTCCGAAACCTGAAACAGAAAGTAGTTCTTCTTTATCGAACAGAAGAAGCTGCAAAACAATTAGAATCAACAAAACTACAGTCTACGGCTGGGTAAGATTCAACTTGCATTGGGATACTGGTTGTGTGTGTGCAGGTATATAGCAATCGCTTCATTTATGTGATTTCCGAGACACCATGTCAGATTTGTGATCAGATGTTTCTATGCAGGCGATGAGTCACAATAACGTGGCTAAAGTATGTTGACCAGACCACACACTAGAAGGTGAAGGGACAACGACGTTTCGGTCCGTCCTGGACCATTCTCAAGTCGATTGTGACTTGAGAATGGTCCTAGGACGGACCGAAACGTCGTCGTCCCTTCACCTTCTAGTGTGTGGTCTGGTCAAGATGTTTCTATGCTCCTTCAAAAAGTTTTATTTGAAGGAAAATAAATGAGCCTCTTTATTTGAGTGGGGAGTTCTCTGGGGGAATAATTCTCATGTGTAAGTGGAGTAGACAGTCAGTTACTTCAGTGTCTGTGAATAAATATAGCTATATGATACATAAAATATTAAAACATACAGAATGCCTATCTACCTGTGAGATCAGGTTGACGATATCAAAGTCTTGGGCCCAGTCACATAATTATTGAGCCTAGTGTATTTCTTCTATAGCCTCAACATCTTGTATTGTTTTGGGAGCATCCCATTAGGGGTTGGCCACTGCAGAAGTTCCTGTATGAGGGTCTATCACCACACAAGCCTTATATTTATTCTAGCTCTTGCCTTTCCTATCCCCTAACCCATCCTTTCTTTCATATGTTGTTCCACTCTTCATTTCCAAGATATTAGTCATTGGCATCTACTATATAAATCTTTTACTTCACCTTTGTTTACCCTCCTCATTAAGAATTTCTTGGGCATTCTATTAATGTGTTTATACCACCTTGGTGAATTGTGCATCCTTTCCCTCCCTGTTAGAATCTGCACCCATTGGATGTGCTATTAAGTTCTGGTGGTTTCCCTTTTGCCTCTTTGCAATTTATTTTGAACTTCATGTATCAACAACCTTTCCCTCTTAAATCCATTGAAGAAGTCTCCTATTTTTTCTAGAACATCCTTCTTTAAAGTTGCATTTCTCAGATACTGTAACTTTTTTTTTTTTTTCCTTGCCTCTTCGGTTGTATCAAATTCCTTATTTATTTTTCATTGCGAATTTCTTGCTCTTTTCTGGTGAATAGGAAATCCAATAATAATGAGACATCTTTTTCTGTTGTGGCCATCTTTACATGGACTCATGATTGCATGCTTATTGTATTTACTTTCCAACTTGTTTTCTTTTTCCTCTTATCTTCCTCTTGGCCTGTTTTCACCATCCCTCTTTAATCCATTCCTCTATCTTTCTCTCCCTGCATTCCATGAGTGTCTTAACAGTTACACCCTTAGGGTGTCCCTGTCTAAACATTCATTTTTTATCAACTTAACCTGAATGGCCCAGTAGTTCCCAGTAGACTGAAAAGAACTTTGACTGATGGCACCTAGTAGTTTGGTACTATATTAGCATGGGTAGCTTCTGGGAACCACTGGGACTTGCCCAGAAATTGGCATTTCATTACATTCAACTTGGGTTTTTTATTTTCTTCTTTGCAAATGAGTTAAAAATAAGGAAAACATACAATCTGTATTGTACTACCTAGGCTATACAAATTTTTATATACTTTCTGATTTCTGTATTAAATATTTAAATATAGATCAAGAGTTAACCTTTTTCTTGAGATTAATGGAAAATATATATTTAATACGAGTAACTACCAATTATTTTCTCATTAATTTTCTCATGCATAATGATTCCGTGGGTCCAAAATTCTTCTAATTGATAACTGGTTTTGTATAATTTGTTAGTTTATCTTCTTACTAGGTAATTATAGCCAGAGATTTAAGTTTTTGGTAAATGTAGGAAATTATAACAATTCAGTTCTCATGAATATCTTTGGGATAAATGTCAGTTTGATCCTGTGGACCCTTTAATGTCTCGTGCCTAAATTTGCAGCTTGAGGTCAAAGTTGTGAAAACTGTCCATCACCTAGACATAACTCCGGTTTTCATGCCTGTGTGTTTGTAAGAAGGGGGGGATTTTTGTGTTCATTTATTGAGGGGAAGGGAATGTGTTTGAGGGGAAGAAGGGAAGGGGGGTATGTAATTGTACAATAGTGAATTCATAGTGATGACATTCCATCATTTTCAGTGCATTATAATCATCTGAGACTTAGAGGTTCTAGGCAAGCATTCAGATGACACTATTGTTCAATGTTTATCATTAAATACAACACCAATAAATATAAGGAGGATCCTCTAAGCTAATACAAGATGTATATTTTTTTATGGATAATGTTTGTTTATTTCAGGTTTGTTGAAGAGTTCAATGTGCGGGAAGATCTTATGGGACTTGCAATTGGCGCACATGGGGCAAATATACAGCAAGCTCGTAAGGTTGAAGGAGTAACGAATATTGAATTAGAAGAAAATACCTGTGTTTTTAAGATCTATGGTGAGGTGTGTATTGCGGCATACATTTTTATTTGTAAAAATATTACATGTCACATTTTGTTACTCTTGATTATTGTTTGTATCGTGTTATTTTAAACTGGTATTGTGAAAAGTCTCCTGTTTACTTAGTTTCCACCTTGCTAATCTATTGACTATAAGTTTTATTCTTATCTTTCTTGGATGACTTTACTTCCATATCTCTCCTCTTTAAAGTATAATTGTATAATGACAAACATTTTTTCCTTTACGTATATTTTTCTCTCAGTTGGTAGATTCTTAATGTATTAAAATCAAACTTCAAGATACAGAGCAACTTCCCTTACCTAAATTAAGGGGCCAAATTCTCATTCATTCTAATGGTAACATTGAAAACATCCAATTTTTATGAAACTGTTTACAAAATTAAGCCTGTAATATGAACCTCTAGCCCAAGTTTCAAAATTGTAAACCGAAAGGAAATGGGGAAAATACAAATACAAAAAAAGAGAGACTGCTTGGGAATTCCTAGATTATAAAATTTAGTTGATCTTAAAAATATGATATTCAGCTAGTATGATATACAGTAAAAATGTTCAACTTTGAGACACATTCAAAAATTCATTTTCTGACCGATTCTCACCATTTTTACACTGTGCAAAGTTCTTAGTTCTAAAGTGTCCTCACCTTCGTTTAGTCATAAAACCATTAAGTTTGGAGTTATAAATTTTTGGCATTAAACTTTTGCACATATTTGGATGGCCCCATTGAAAAAAATGTTTTACAGTACTTTATTCTTAAAGAATATTTTGAGGTGAGGAATAAAACATTATATGCCATTCTGATACCATAATGAATAAAATAACAATTGGTGACATTTTACTATTTTTTAAAGCTAATTTGAAATTGTGAATTTTTTCCCTTTTTTCAATTTTGCTTAACTTTTTCTGTTCATGGTATGATGATGATCCATTAGGAAAAGTTGGAGCATTTATCATGATATTATTAAAAAAAAATTGAGTGTTATGAGGAAATTTCGGTGAACAGTCACCAGGCCCCTTAACAAAGTTAAATACCCTTAAAATGGAAATTATAATTTGTTGAATGAAAAATTACTATTGTGTTTAATCGATCTTTCCAACTTTAAACACAGGAGCATTAATGCTTCTATGAAATGTTTTGGCAATACTAATGGCATTAAGGATTCCTACAAATTAAACCTGACATTTGTAATGACAGTAAATATGACAGGGGGTGACGTTTTTAAATTTGATGAGTATTCCTTTACTTTTCCATGAAAGCATCCTTGTTAAAATAATTATTAAATTATTTATTGTTTTGCTGATGTATTTATTTTGCTTAGCCACAGTTGTGCCTATTCTTTCTAGACTGAAGAAGCAGTAAAAAAGGCAAGATGTATGTTAGAATATAGTGAAGAGTCTGTGCAAGTGCCACGGATCCTAGTAGGAAAAGTAATTGGTAAGAATGGCCGTGTTATACAAGAAATGGTTGACAAGTCTGGTGTAGTGCGGGTGAAAATTGAAGGGGATAATGAACCAGAGCCCACAACACCCCGCACCGAAGGACAAGTTCCGTTCGTCTTCGTTGGCACAGTTGAGGCCATTGCCAATGCTTCCATTCTACTTGAATATCATTTAGCTCATCTAAAAGTAAGTTCCTATTTGTCTTTTTTTATTATTTGTAGCTTATTTACCACTGCCAGTCTGGCCACTATGCACATTCCGAAGCGTAAACATTCTGGGCTCCCCAAATCTGCTCACTGGCCACGCAGCAATGGGAATTTTTTTTATTTTTGCAGTCTAGTTCATGTTTTCTCATTTATTTGTTGAATTATAAATATAAATTTGGTGTCAAAATCTTTGTAGATAAATTTTGCTGAGGAGTGAGCATGTAGCTGATTGCCAGCAAATGCTGCACTCATGACATGTACATTTCAAGTTGTTAATTATAATAGTTTTTTTTAATATCTGATTCTGCTGAAAATGTAGTGATAATGGGACCGTATGCAAGGATGATGGAACTTTCACACATGACAAAAAAAGAAATAAGTGAAATACCGAGGCTTCAGTACAATTCTCTTTTCAGTGAACCCTTTCGCCTTTTCTTGATTCTGCCTTGACTCTTTCCTTCCTTGTGTTCTGCAGAAAAAATATTTCTTTATCCAGTTAAATGCAGAAATGTACTCTCCTTGAATAGGATTACCTCTTTGGCATCCTCATTCATGAATACTATCTTTATTAGTTGGATTTTTTTCACTTGTAACCACCTATTCTGAAAACCTTTGTTACATCAAATCTGTCCCTCTTTCTTGACTGAGAATGCCTGCCTACCTGCTATACAACAATAAATGTAGGGGAATCTGTGAAGGGAAAAAGCATAAGAATTGTTTAAACACATATCACTCAATCTATTATGTACCCCATACCCATCCCGTGGGCGGTGGTGTAAAGGATTACAGAGGCACATGCCTTTCTTTTGGTGCTTACCTATCAGTGACTATGGGAGAGTGTTAATGCCAATTTGTTTGTGTTATCTTGAGGTTATCTTGAGATGATTTCGGGGCTTTAGTGTCCCCGCGGCCCGTCCTCGACCAGGCCTCCACCCCCAGGAAGCAGCCCGTGACAGCTGACTAACTCCCAGGTACCTATTTACTGCTAGGTAACAGGGGCATTTAGGGTGAAAGAACTTTGCCCATTTGTTTCTGCCTCGTGCGGGAATCGAACCCGCGCCACAGAATTACGAGTCCTGCGCGCTATCCACCAGGCTACGAGGCCCCCAAGAGATAATGGCATGAGAAGTCTACCTCTCTTGATCTGCTTCAATCAAGACAGTTCATATTAATGTCAGTGTGAATGTATGGCATATACCTACTTCAGTTTTCAGGTTTTTTTATGTTCAATATCTATACCATTCGAGATGTTAAGTACCGTCGCTATCCTCTGTCGAATTTCTGCCAATATTATTTAAAAAATGTATAATATTGTAATACAAAAATATTATTTAAAAAATATTTATTCATTATAATTATGGATGGACCCCCTTCTTATCCTCAAGCTTGAATCCTGGTCAAAGCCTTAGTTAAGTATACATTGTTTCCAAAACCAGCATATACCTACTTCCCAAAACTTATTTTCAGCACATTAATTTTCCTCTAAGCAGTCTCCTCCTTATCTCTAAACATTCCTTATTTTCATATTTTTGCCACCGACTTGTCTTTTTCCAGCACTCGTTTCAGAATTACGACTTAAATGTACCTAATTCTTTTACATTTTCTATTTTGCAGGAAGTTGAACAATTAAGACAAGAAAAACTTGAAATTGATCAAAAATTAAGAAATATGCATACAACAAACAGCTTAGGAAATAGTCAGGGTTATCCAATGAGGAGAAATGACCGGTGAGTGTTCCTCCATATTTTTAAAGAATATTTGATAAATTAAACAGATTTTCAAGCTAATATGTACTAACTGTAAGATAAAGGTTCAGTTTTCTTAGTGCTGTTATTACTTAACTCCTTGCAGATACTTTTGTGGATGGGTAGCCACAAGAAATTTTGTCTAAAAATGTTACCTTTGATCATCTTTGCATCTTGAAATCTTTAACCACTGCACTGTGCATACTGAGATATCTTGGTTGATACAGTAATATATATATTACTGTACTCAAGTGTATTTACAGGATGAACTACACTCATGGTGTCTCGTCCTCCCAGTACTCTTTGTCATACCGTCACTTTGAAACTGACGGTTTTGGCCTCCTCCACCCACCTCACTTAGCTTGTTCCAACCGTCTAACACTGTTTGCAAAAGAAAACTTTCTAATATTTTTTCGGCGCCTTTGTTTCCTTACCTTGAATCGGTGTCCTCTTGTTCTTGAAGTTGCTGGTTTCGGGAATTCCTCTGTCAATTTGGTTGATTCCTGTTAGTATTTTGTAAGTGGTAATCATATCACATCTTTTTCTTCCATCTTCTAGTTTTGGCATGTTTAATGCCTCTTAGTCTCGACTCGTAACTCTTGGTTTCAGTTCCGGAAGCCATTTTGTAGTATGCTGTTGCACCTTTCTCAGTTTATTTGTGTGCTATTTGAGATTTGGCACTACAACTGCTGCCTATTCCAATTTTGGCCTCAAGTCATGAACAGTTTTAGTATTTCACCATCATTACAATTAAAAGCAAGTCTGAAGTTGGAAAGTGACTCGTATGCTCCTCTCACAATGTTCTTTGTGTGTTCTTTTGGCGACAGATTACTTTCCAAAACCACCCCTAGATCTCGTTCTTTACTAGAGATCTGTAATTCCGTTCCACATAATTTGTAAGTTTTTGTGTGGTTTATTTTCTCCAATTCCACATTCTATAACATGGCATTTACTCACATTGAATTCCACTTGACGCTCCAAGCACTTGTTTTATCTAGATCGATTTGAAGGGCATAACAATGGTCTGCGTCTTCTATCTTCTCCAGTATCTTGGCATCATCCGCAAACATGTTCATATAAGTCTTTATTCCTTTTGATAGATTGTTTGTGTAGACAATGAACATTACTGGTGCAAGAACTGAACCCCTGTGGTACTACAATCAGATACATTGTCTCTGATTACTGCTCTCATCTGTCTATCAGTTAAAAAAGGTTTCATATATTTTAGAAGTCTCCCTGTCACCCTCTTGTGTAGGACTCTGTCAGAAACTTTTTTTTTTTTTTTTTTTTTTTTTTTTAGGTCTAGATAGACTGTCAACCCAACCACCTCTTTCCTGTAGTATATCTGTGGCTCTATTATAAAAACTAAGAGATTTGTTACACAGGATCTTCCTGTTCGAAAACCATACTGTCTGTTATTGTGTCATTACGCTCTAGATGTGTAACCCATTTGACTTTGTTTCTAGTGTTTTGACTACCACGCTTGTTAATGGTAAGGGTCTATAATTTAGAGGCTCCTCTCGACTGCCATTTCTGTGGAGAGCCCCTTCAGCTCCCAGGAGCTATACCGGGCTGATGTGCATATATTAGACCGTGGCAACAGTCAATTGATGGAGTTATAGGCCTACCGGGGACCTATAACTTTTGCATTCGTCCTTTATTTCTTCTTTGTACTTCTCTAGTTTTTTATTAACCTCTATGTGAGTTGTCAGTGAAGTTTTTTTTTACATATCCTTGCCTAACTCCATGTTAGCCTTCAGGGTTCCTTGGAGTTGTTCACCATATGAGTCTACTTTCTTGTTTATTTCTTCAAATTCAACATTCTTTACTTTCCGTACCTCATTGTCTTTCACTAATTCCTTAATTTATTCCTCCTGAATCTTTACCTTGTCTTTTAATGCAGTAATTTTTTTTACCTTGCTGAAGTGTACTTCCTTTTAAAGTGCAAAACTCACTCCTGAGGGCTCCATTTTCTTCTAATTCAAGTACTTTTTCTTCATGCTTCTTTAGCATATCCTCAATTATCTCTAACCTGCCAAGAAAACCTTTCATTATATCTTGTGGTGAGAATCTTTTTCTGGACTTCAGTGGAAACCTCAGGACCCCAAGAGGATTCGGTTGAATCCCAGGTTGCATTGCTTTTACCATGTCATTGTGAAGTGGTCTAGATCTGTGTGCTTGGGAGTACCTAGTGTGCTGGTTCAAAATCTTTTGGCTCATACTGATTTTCTCAAGATATGGAGAGTTATGAGGTTAGAATACTTTATGCTTAGAACTATTCTAGCTCAGAAAACTGTGGTCATCTTGAATTGTTATTTCATTGTGTTTTATTTTATTGTACAAATGTATTTTTCCTTTCTTGCAGTGGTTACAACAGTGACATGGAGATGGGAAGCCGTGGACGGGGAAGAGGTGGCCCTCGAGGAGGTCGTGGAAGAGGTGGTGGCAGAGGTGGTGACCGCTACAATAACGACCGTTCAGGAACTGGTAATACGCTCAGTGATTATATATCCAATGCTGAAAAACGGGGTGGTCCTGGGAGAGGAGGGGGTCCAGGTCGAGGTCATGAAGGGAGGGGAGGTTACGAGGGCAGAGGTGGCCACGAGGGCAGAGGTGGCCACGAGGGCAGAGGTGGCCACGAGGGCAGAGGTGGCCACGAAGGCAGAGGTGGCCACGAGGGCAGGGGTGGCCACGAGGGCAGGGGTGGCCACGAGGGCAGGGGTGGCCACGAGGGCAGGGGAGGCCACGAGGGCAGGGGAGGCCACGAGGGCAGGGGTGGCCACGAGGGCAGGGGTGGCCACGAGGGCAGAGGTGGCCACGAGGGCAGAGGTGGCCACGAGGGCAGGGGAGGCCACGAGAGCAGGGGTGGCCACGAGAGCAGGGGTGGCCACGAGGGCAGGGGTGGCCACGAGGGCAGGGGAGGCCAAGAGGGCAGAGGAAATCATGAAAACAGAGTAGGTCAAGAGGGTAGAGGGGACTACTCTAGGCCCCCACCTGACCACAGGAACCACAGAGGGGGCAGTGCTGACAGGGGAGGGCGAAGAGATAAAAAATAGCCAATGTCATCGTATTTGACCTTTTTATATGTGACTTTAACTGTACTAGACAAACATTTATTGAGGAATTTGTGGTTTAATGACCCATGAACACTCAGAATTGGAGTTATTTTCCATGACTTGGAATTGAACCTATTGTGGCTCTTTGAGTAATACAAGAAAGACATTTATTGTACTTTAATTCTTATATATGTCATGGCCTGGTTAAACTAACCTGTTGGAAGGCAGGTTAAAATATCTTTTGTACAAAAATGTAACCTTGATTGGTTTTTATTCAAAGACTATGAGAGTTATATAGTACTGGTAAAAAAAAATTAATTGGCTCATAATAAGGCTCAAGTACAGCATTGCAATTTACAATGTATGAACTGGATAAATTGGCATGATATTTGTAGCCAAGAATTGAGGAATAATTTAATGACTAAGTCATAATGTGGATTATAATTCCATTGCCTAAACAAATAATGTTTCCTTACCAAATTAACATCTAATTAGCAATACCAAGGGAAAAAGTCACGCAATTTCTTGTGGAAGCGTTTACAGGCTGTGTGGAGTCAAGTCTGCAGCCTCAACACAGCTTTGGCAGCTCTCCACATTTCTTAGGTTATGGGGTCTATGAAAGCCCCATATATAAATCTAGACATACACCAATATTACCAAATTTATTGGTAATTCTTGATGCTGTGGACATTATTGGACACACGAGTTACTTGCCACATCTGCTGTTTGTAGTCAACTTGCTGTATGCATGCTGCAGTATTTTCTCTTGAGTTTCTTTGGTCCTCCTGCAGAATGCATGTGTTATTAGTGAACAAAAGTTAATCAACAGTTATACTCTGATATGGCTATTATTTAACAAGTGGTGAAAATTTACCAGTAGGTGCATATTTTGTTTGAACTAATCTTCCAAATTTGTAATCTCTGCTTTTGGCATGTTTTGCATTCACTTAAATGCAGCATTCAGAAGATCCTTTCAAGCAAAATGACTGCAATAGTGGTAGAGTTTTATAAGGAAACTCTTGCCTACAATGCGATATGATATATTGAGAATTGCATTCTTATCCTGACTTAACTATAGCCTCATATGCCCTAAGATGTTTGAATAGTCACCATTATACATGATAAAGTAGAAGTTAATATATTATGATACAGTTGACTTCCTCCAATTATTGATTTTGTTGCAATTACCTTTATTTGAATTTTATATATGATAAATTATATCCTATTAGCCAATATTTTTGTTTATATATAATACTTTTTCATGGAACTAAATTAACTCGTGTGATGAATTACGATTATTATTTTCTAAAAATCAGTCCCTACATTCCAAATAATTTGAGGTATTATTATAAGAATCTTGTTAATTTTCATGCATCTTTCGGTGTGGAAGATTTTTTTAACATCACTCTTCCTCTTGTCTTAAGTGAAACTTAACATCCAAGACAGAATTGGAAGTAAATGTAGCATTACATTGTTTAAAAAGTGGATTTTGTGTAGCATTTTACACATTATATAATGAAACTGAAATACAGTAGTTAATTGAGTAGAGATCTAACCCAGTACTTGGCATTTGAAAATTAAAGTTATCTTAGAAAGTCAGAATAAGATATCACATTTTAAAGTGGTATATTTCCAATATGAGATGATGTTTGTGAATGGTACTTTTGGGAAAACTTGTGCTCATATTCATGGAGATTTTATCTGTGTAACCAGTCATGCTTAGATACATTGTTTCTATAGCTGTCGAATGATATTAAAGGGCATAATTTTTGCGCTAACGTAAAGCTGTAGAACCCGATACCGATTCAGAAGGACGAGCTAAATGTCTTTTTGTAACAGTGTTTTGTTCGAGGTAATATATACAATAATGATTTACAGATAATATTTAAAGTTAAGCATAAAATTAATAAAATATATGGAATTACTCCATCTCATGTTAGAAAGCCATCATTTCAAAGCAACTAAATTAAGTAGACTTCAGTCATTTGAGGCATTACGTTGTCAATTTTACGCTTGTGTTTCCTTTCAGAGCTGTCATTTGTTGAAATCCATAGTACATACTTGTTGAACATGTTCACAGCTGTGTAGCCATGTGTGTTCAGTATAATGGAGAGGCTGTAAGCATGACTAACTCAATTTTTTTCTCTCCAAAATTTGATCATGATAATTTCTTTAAGTTCTTCAACCTGTTGATATTTTTAACTCTGAAATTCCTCGATGATGTCTCCATGAGTATATCCCATACATCAAAAGTCCTTACTACATAGCCAATACCCCCTCACAAACATGTCATTGTTCAGTACTTACTAGTGCTCTTGTCTTTTAAGTCCAATAACTCCACGTTTATTCATTGTTGTAGCTTAATAACATAATACAGACTTGGCACATCAATAAATTAATTGTATGAGCTGTTCAGCTTAACTTACCTAATATAATTATTTTTTGAATTTTATTTTGATATGGCAGATACCCACAGTTCTTCAGTACAGTATTTCTTTCTCACGTACTGTGTTCAGCTCTTGAAGTATTACATTGAAATAGCAGTCATACTATCACAAGTGGGACTGCAAACTTTTATCGTATTTATAGATGTTCTCTTGTTCATTTGGCAATTAAAGTAACTAAACAACTGCAGTTGTTTAGCTTCAAGCTTGACCCTTTGCTGATCTGTAACAGTAAGAATTAATCTCGGTAACAAACTACATATAATGATACCCTATAGAAAATGATGCTGCTTACATTTATAGTCATACTTGGTACCCACATAATTGTAGTTCCTGCATGGTGGTATTCAGCCAGTTTAATTTATAATACATTTAATTTTGCTATTAATGGGAAATCTGGGGTTTCCAAAAATCAAGAACAAAAAAAAATGGTGTTCAAACATTTTGAATTACTAGTTTTGTTAGGAATTATGCCAAGGTATATATATTTTAAATGTAAACATTCTATTTGGAATACCATAATGTGAGTACAGTATTGCATTTGATACCATTTTTATGCATTAAATAGATTGCAGTGAACCACAATAATGTGGTTGCACTCTAACCTTGACTGTTCGTTTTCACTCTGGGAATTATTTGAACAAAGTCTTGTTCACTAATTTCTTAACTGCTGCTGCCCACTTACCCATAATTCATGCTTAATGGTCTGTATATGTATAACATGTGAAATTGAAGTGCATCAAAGTAAATTTATTTGTTAAAGAATCAAGATAGCATTTGTTATGTCTGGGGTAAGTGTGCATTGGTCCCGTATGGCACTTCCCTAAGTTGGTTTTCGTTTGCAGTGTGAAACTAAGATCTTCCAGAATTTTGTTTCTTGTTCATTTCCCTTTTTTCTCTTAAGTCAACCTTCTGTTATCTTCACTGCTTTGTGTAAATTAAATTGGGATTCGGAGAAATAGGATTCTACAACATGTACAGTAAAGACCAGTTTACATTAAAGCCAAAGATGTTGTCACAAAAATGCTGTTAAAATACTATATTCACAATAAGGTATGTCATAACTCAAACATTGTTTGAGTGATGATTTGTTTGACATAGAAATGCAGTAGGTGTTGAAGAACCCTATCTAAATTATTTTTTTATTTGGTTCTCTTTACGTAGTAGTTTGTCGAGATGTAGGTCACAAGTGATTTGGGTCATAAGCTGTGTGCCATGGTTTTGACCACAAGTAGTTTTGCAGTTAAGTGCTTATGGATGTAAATTGGACACCCACCTTGTATTTTCCTCCCAATTGGCCTTGCATGAATAATTTGTGGAAGGTTGGGGATGCTTTTTTAACTGAGCGTCATATACATCTCGCTTGGTAGGTCATGGGTAGGATGTATCAAAGGTGGTTAGGATTGATTTGATCCATTGAGTCACTACATATTACTGGATATGTGTGCAAGGGCAGTGTTGGTAGTTGGACACCACCACCATGTAGATTCTCCACCTCCCAACACCTTCAGTTAGTCAAAATTTATATTTCATAAACAACTTTAATTACATTATCAATACACCATTTAAGGTCAAAAAGCATTTTATTGTTTTTGTTTTTCTCAAAAACTGTAAAAAAGTATTTATTATAAGTTTAGTACATATATGAAGGTTACATATTGTTTATCTAAAAGGTATGGATAGTTATGAATTTATTAGGTTTGCATTATTTTTATTGTAATTGCATTTGTTTCTTCAGCGCATTTTAGAGCCTTTTGTATAATATTGCCCTCATGCAAGTTTGTATCATTTGTGCATTCTTGTGAATGGTAGTCAAGTTATACTTGCATATTTCTCAAATGTTCTCTTATATGTTGAAAACTCAAGGGAGGTTTAGAATACTTACTTGTATGTTAGGTAACGTACATGTCGTGTTATCACCAATTTTGGCTTAGACATTCTCGTGTTTGAATACGTGATACTGAATAATTAAGAGAATTCAATACCA